GCCGGTACTACTGATATTCAAATTTATTCATAATGTTATGGTGCGGTTAGATGTCTCCTATCAATGACATTTGAAATATTTGCAAAAAGGAGCCGATTTTTCTTCTAGTGTGTATAATTTCATCAATAATAATAGAAGTTTTAAAACTAAATAATTTACTGCATAATATTATTTAAGCGACAAAAATTTTGATTCATTCAAATTACTTAGTAGACTTAGAAAATGTAAAATGAAAGATCAATTAATTTACTTTACACGTACCTTAGTTTATATTATTGATTCTTGCAATTCATATTTTGGAACATTACACTATAAATTTAAAGAAATCACGTTATCAAACAATTAATTGTATAAACGTATATCTATTAATTTGAATTTAAATAAAGAAAGGTATTATAGTCAACTACCTCAGAAGTAAATCATTAAAATTATTATTTTAAAAATATATCGTCTATTACATAATATACAAGTAAATATAACAACTTTTATAGCAAAAAAAGTTCGTTATAAAAGTTATGAAATACAAAAATTAATTAACAAGTATGACTATTTTGAAGGTAAATCAATTTCTCCATAAAATAACAGTTAAAAAAACATATATAAGAACATAAAATAATATTAAATAAAATCTGTTAACGTTGATACATACAATAATAAATTATCTATCGTCTTACACAAAATGTCAGTGTATCTATTTTAGAACTTTTTAAGAAAGTAGAGCAATATTGTGTTTGATAATTTAATAATGAAACAGCCTTGTATTTAATTGTTACTAAAGTATTTTGTATTAATGCTTATTAAAAAATATTTAAAACATTTATATTTCAAATTAAATTATACAATTTTAGAAACATTGTCTGATTATGAAAGATATAATATTTTATGTTAAATACTTAGAATATAAAGAACGGAAATTATTCGTTCGTTAGTTTTTTTTTTTTTTTTTATATATCTACGTTCATGCGTATTTATGTTTTACTAAAACTGAAACAAAATGCCTTTTCCCGAGGTAACATACAAATAGCTTAAAGATTAGGAAATTGCTATCGTACGTACGGAAATTTCTGTATTTCCGAAATTATATTAAAATTAGTATTATTTTTAAAATACGTATCCATATGATTGACAAAGGTGTAGAAATATTTATATAATATTAGCTATGACAAATATATTTTTAATTATATTTTATTAATTACTTTTAGAAATTGATCGAATTAGCAATTATCAATGAAATCGTTTTACTTAAAAGACAGAAAGGAAATACGATGTCTATAAAGAATAAATAATTAATAATTATGATTAGAATATTCATGCAAAACATTGTGTTTCCTACAAATTCTCTAAATTAATAATTATTATAAAATATTTGCATAAGAAACCATTATATTATATCATTTTGTTCCTATATTCTAAACAAAATAAAGCTTGTGAATATACAAATATGTTTATATTCCATTAAACGTATTTTGCAACCATACTTTATTGCAAGAATTTTGTTAATAGCTTATGAAACACATCTATAATTTATTAAATAATTTAGTATATATTAAAGTGGCGTAAAATTGGAAGAGTTTCAAATAATAATAAATATCGCTATATAATATAAGTATGTACATTAAAATTTGCGTAATTTTTTTTTACTTTGCATACGTACATCACAAAGTTTTACACGAAGAGATTGAAAAGTTTTGCTTAATTGAAAATTTCGAGCATTTGAATATACTAATTATTTTAAATAATTTATTTAAAATGGAAGACGTTTAATGTAACATAATAAAATATATAAAATAAAATAATAATTGAGTACTTAATATTAGAGGCAGTAAAATTTGGCGATAATACTATGATTTCAAAAGTACATTTAATTTTTTGGCCATAAAATTAATTAAACAGAATTAAAATGTGTATTTGAATAAAAAAAAAATTTTATATTCTAAAATAAATTATAAAAGAATTTATATAAAGAAATTATAAAAATTTCTTGATTTAATTGTCAATGCTGTAAGTCGTTAAATTTTTTATCGCTATAATGAAAAATAAAAATAAAAAATAAACATTAATTGCCGCATCCTAAATTAACAATTGTAGTCTTTTATAAATGTGATTTATAAATCGATTCGTTCTGCTACTTAATTATTATACAATTAGGTAAATTTATAATAATCAAATACTTTATGCAAAGAGTATTATTTTGGCATAAAAAGTCTTGAATAATCTGTTTAGGAACGTTAAGAATTTCAATTTATATTTCCAAACTTCTCTTCTATGTTAATTAATTGGGATAACTAGTTTTAATAAATGGTCCATAGTCATGAAGCTAAATGTTTGTGGATATTTGAAAGGATCTAAGCAACAGGAAGTGATAAAGGAAAAATAGTAAGATGCAATAGAACGACTATTAGCTTTTAAATATTCATAGACTTGATTATGAAATTTATGAGTATAATTATTATTATAGTATCAAAGAGCCAGGCCGTTTTACGGTGAATCTTTTCTAATATGTAATTGGAAAATCTTTCTTCAATCTTTCTTTCCATCCTCTTTTTATTTTATGAATAGTAAATTATTTTAATAAAAAAAAATATTGTATTAAAAAATGGGTCATCGAATAAGTGTAAAATCTTATTAATTGAATGATTAAATATACAAAAATCGCTTAAATATCGAATAAGTAAAGCAATAATATTAATATTCAAAATATATTATGAATTATTAGATTAATGTTTATAATTAGTCGAATATCTATTAAAAAAAAAAAAAAAAAAAAAAACATTGAAAAATATTTTGTAAATATTTGATTGAAAAATACCAAAGAAGTTATATTATCAATTATAAATATTATAAATAACTTATGTGTTCATTAAAATTAAAAATTTATTATTATTTTAGTTTACTATTTAATTTATTAATTTCAATTGTTAATATAAAAAATAATAAAAATGATGAAAATGATGAAAATAATATTTATTAAGGAAATTATAATTTACAAATCGTATGCCTTTAATATACGTACGAAGAATATCTATTAGGAATCAAAATAACATTTTATTTCTTAAAATTTTTGGAATATTTTTATTTAATTTACCTAAATAATATTCAAGTTTCATTATGTCTTCATTATGTGTATACAAATTTATATTTATTTAATCATTATATTATATAAATCTAAAGGGTTGAAAAATTATGTTTAATAGTAACTCAAAGATAAATAAAATCTCATAAAAATAAATAATGTACGAATTTATTCTGTTGTTATGTAGTTAAAAAAAAAAAAAAACTTTAAGTTAGTGTAAAGTAGAATAATGTCAGTAAGAAAGCAAATAAAAAAATGTTAAAACTTATGCCGCAGAATGAGTAAATGTGAATTACGAAGAAATTTACTAATTTATTACGTCTAATGTAACGTCAAATTGCATGTCTACTTTAATGTACTACTATACGTAATATACTTAAAAATATAATACAACATATATTACATTTATTTACATAAATTAGAATGCATTAACCGGCTGAAATATGATAGCTATAAAACGATAACTTTATAAATTATTTAAAATTCCAGTCGCGAAGAAATCAAGATGTTACTATTAATAATGAATAATCGAAAAAAATGTACAATAAGTTTTGATTATAATCTATGAAATTATTTATAATTAAACTATTTATAATTACTGGAGGTCGTTGTAATTTTGTTTTTAATAAATGTGATGAATTGTATTATTAATGTTCAAATTTTTCGAATTTTCCTAATAATGTTATCGACATTTATCGAGTGGTTTATACAATGTAAGTATTATTTTCGAATCTTAATTTTTATTTGTTTACATTATTTCTCCAAATAAGTTTTTATTATTTTTTGTGAAAATATAATTTTTATGAAACTTTTAAGATAATCTGTTGGTCAAGTGTTCTATATAATGCATGTAATAATAATTTTGAATAATCCATCATATGAAATTGGCTATACAAAATATTAGATAAATATAAACATTTTCAAGTATATTTAGATTATTAGTAGTTACATATTGTTTAAACACATGTAAGAAAAATTTGAAATTAGTAATGTATAAATAGCAGTTCACTAAAAATTCTTGCTTAACAATAAACTTCTTACTCGTAAGTCTTATTTTATAAGTATTAATTGGCTATATGTTTATACAGAAGAATTTATGTAAGATAGAAGATAATGAATTTTTGTATTCTGATAACAAATAAAGTGTCAAAAAAAAAAAAAAAACCAATTCAGATGAATTATAATAAAAAATTTGTTTACATACTTATCTCTTACCTTTGAATTTCCCTAAAAATAAAATCCAAGAATAACGATCTATAAATCTATAAATAATCTATAAATAACGAAGTTGAGGATGAGAGTTAATGCTTACCACCGGTCACATGATATCATGTTAAAATCTAAATCATACTACATTGGATATCGGCTGGCATGTCATTCCCACGTGATAGTCATAACTCAGCAGGCATAAACATCGTAAAATCTCTTTTCGCTTGCCTACGTAAAGGACGCCGCGAAAGTATGCTCCCTACACTCGTAATACCAACTCATTCATAATGCGAAGAAGTTCGAACGTGTATTTAAACGATCGAGTGGTAAATGCTCGAAAATGAAATGTCGAATAGTCGCGAGGCGCTACCTTATCTCCACTCCTCGATGTCCCGTTCTCGAGCCGCCGAGCAAAAAACGCATGACCGGCACGATACCTCACCTCGATAATTGGCGACTAGGGCAGAGGGAAAAAGGCCCTATCCCCCACCTAGTTGCCCGCTACGGAGCAGTTGGCTAGAGAGGATCCACACCACGAAGAGGGGGAGCATCCTGAACGCGCGGGCGCGCTCGCGCTCATGCGAGAGAGACAGAGAGAGAGAGAGAGAGAGTGACGGGAGAGAGAGAGAGAGAGAGAGAGAGAGAGAGAGAGTGAGCGAGGTGAAGGCAAACGCGCGAGCGCGAGCTGAGGCATGAGGTTTGCCGACCGGCACCGTGGCCCGTCAGTATCGTGCCGCGACTCTTTCGCGACGTCCGAGAGCCGAAGGAGCAGCCGCGACGTTAGTCCGCACGCACGCCTCATACCGGAGAGGATTAAGCCACCCCGTGGTTCTCGAGGAGCTTGTGCCAAGTGGTAAGAGGTGGGCATTGGCCAGGCGCTTGATACGACTGCGGCTGCATGCGAGCAGGAGACGAGTGACCGCCGCGCATTACAGCCTCCACGGGACATAAGCTCAAGCGGTACGTATTTTTGTCTCTGTCGTTTTAATGTCATTCATTGACTTGGCATGCAGGGATCGGGATTTGACGCTAGGATTCGACGTTTTTTTTTTTTTAAGGGATCTATCTTGTCTGGGGAGCTCGAGGCTTGCGCGAGCCCCTTGAGGGATGTGCTAACGCTGTTCTAACAGCTCAATGATCGACTAGGAATATTTATTTTTTATTGTGGTAGGGTGAAATTATGTATAAAGACTGCATCAGTATAAAAGGAAAAAAAATATAATACAAATAAAAATAAATAATAAAAATATATCGACCGTCGAACTGTACGAAACTTTTACTTAAAAATATTTGTTAACTTTTTTTTTTTTTTTTTTTCCATAATAGCACCTGTGTGGCCAATAAAACTTATTGATGTATCTATCGAATGTAATTGATAATTATATATTATTTACAGATGAATTTCCAATATTCATGTCATATTTGTTTGAAAGAATTGTCCGCGTCTTCTTTAATTATCATAGCATCGATATATTGATACTTTTCCAAAATTATTACGTGAAATAATAATGACAAATTCCATGTCTGCTTAAATATATTATTTGCTACGGTACCTGAACATACATTATATGTCTTTACATAAAATTAAGTTTAATCAATTATATAAAATTGTTCTATTATCATAATACGGATTACTAAATCCACGGATATGTATGTAATCTTTACGTTATATAGAACAAATTTTATTTTAATACATTGCCATTAATATTTATTATAAATTCAATTATTCAATTATTTTAAAAGTACTTTTAATAAAACATTTTATTTATTTATTTATTTTCTGCATTTACTACTACATTTGGTAATAATATTTTTAAAGACTATTTAATAAAAAGATTCAAAGTATTGTAAATAAAGCTTTATTTATAAAAAAATCATCATCGTTATTTATATATATATATATCTTATTTAATATTTGAAATTAATAGTTGTTTCCTAGCAATTGTTTTAGTAAATTAACTGTGGAAATTTTTACATTTTCAAAACTAATAATTTTTAAATAAATAGATCATTGATTTTAGATTAAAATACGTAATGGAAATGATATTTTTAGCTGTTGATTAGGCGTGTAAGACACATATTACAAAATATTGGTGTCTGTACTTATCAGTACACTATTGCAAACATTTACATAATATTATAAAGAATAATGTTTGCTAAATTTGTTTTTAATAATATAATTAAAGTGCGTGAAAAGTAGTGAGAAAGGAAAACAATATATAAGAAACTTAGCCATGTCTATTAATGATATTTTAAACAAATTTTGATTCTACATTGTATAAATAATTTTTGTATATCTTTAAAGAAATTGATGAATCCATTGAATTTATGTTATTTATTGCACATTTGTTTATTAATGAAATATAAATTAATTGGTAAAATTTGATATTTCTATTATACGCTTGATCTGCAGAACTTTTGAATCATCATTTATAGATTTTAATTTGATTGATTTATTATTTATTAATTAATATTATTAAAAATATGTATTTCGAAATATTTTCCAAATTCAAATAGCAGTTTCAGTTATTAACAATATAATCTCTCATACGCCAAAGAAAACTCCTAAAATCACAAGTATTATCGATTTATGTGCATATTCAGAGCGAGTCATGAAACTTTCTTGAGAGCACTTTTATTTTCAGGAAGGTACACGCATATATACTTATAATAATGTAAAATATTTAATTATCATAAAAATATTTTTTTAAAGTTTAACGGCAGCAATAATTTCAGAAGCAAAAAATTATAAGAGAAATAACTAGTCGAGATTGTACTCTGATTTAAAATACGAATTACGATTAACTCTCCTTACATGAATACGAATAGGTTTTTCTTACTCAACATAATACGTTTTTGTTTGTTTTATAGATTATTAAAAAACTATCTTACGCGTAACACACGCGCGCGCGCGCGCGCACACACACACACACACACACACACACACACACACAATTATTCTAAAAATTTGAATATAAATAATTTTATACTTTTTAAATTACTTTTACAAGCTATAGTTAAAAAATAAGAAATATTATAATTAGTTTTTAACATAATTATTGTGGATAATCAAGTACAGTAAGTAAATTATGAATTAAATGAAACATTTAAAGTAGATTGTAATTAGCAAACAGAATTACTTATCGTACTTATTATTTTATAAATAGTTTGTTTCTTCCATTACAAAATACTGCTTATAATGAAAGAATTATCATGCAGACAGGGAAAGAACTATAAATGTACAAAATATTTAAAGGGCATTTTATACAATTAATGTGAATTCAAAAGAATTATAAAAAAATAATATTATAATTTAAGAAATTGCAGTTTACTATTTCCTTGAACATGTAAGACAATTGTTTATTTTACGTAATAGTTCATTGAGTACACAATATGTAATTAAATACTAATTATTTTCAAGTTATTATTTATAAAATTATTTACAAAAATAAAACAATCTACAGTACAATTCGTATGTTTATACGCTGTAAATAATTTACCAAATAATTTACCATATAATATAAGTTATTAATAATACAAGTAACTTATTAAATTATAATGATAATATTATTTTTCAAATGAAAAATTTTAAATTTCGGTAACGCTAAGAGTATTAGATAAGTAGGTATAAATTTTATATAAGTAAAAGTACATGAAAAAGCAATAATCTAATATTGTATTAATTTAAATAATTTCAAAATTATTTTACAGTATTAAGATGCTATAATTTGATTTCACTGATTAAGTTACGAAAAAGAATACTCAGTAGGTTGATGGTAATCTTTATAATTAATATTGACAAAAATGAAAATCTTTTTGATTTTTAACATCTCACTGCTGTGGACGTAATATTACACGAGAAAATATATTCATAATTTCATAGATACTTAAAAAGAAAGTTACCCAGTTAGTTGTTCCTACTTCTAGAACTTTCAATTATAAACTTCGAAATTTTCTGAAAATTCTGGAAGAACGTTAGTAAGTATTATTAGTAACATTTTCAAAAGAATAGTGAAGTTATTAAACATTGTCAAACATCAATATTTTTTGTCGAGTTTCATTTTATAAGTTAGTTTCTATAATTTCAATTAACTTTAATATTTTAAATTATCTAAGAATAAGCTTTCCATTAAATTATATTCTACCGCTTTAATCCGAATTCTAATAATTAGCATAGTTAATGGATTTATTACATACATAATGTCAGATAGATTTAGAAATGAATATTTTATATTATTATTGTAATATTAACAATGAAGTTTTTTCTTGAAATTTCTTAAATATTATTCGTGAAAATTTTCAATCCCAATAGTAATAATTATATGTTTATTTAATTGTTTAGCGTAGGGATAAAAATCTTATAAATCATGGATTTAAATTAAATTCAAGACCCGTTACTAATTATAAATTTATCAAGTTTCTAGCTACTAATACGAAACTTAACCTTACAATAAATATTTATGACCCTAATCAGACAAATTTCAGTGCAATATTTGAAATATTACAAAGTTGTTTTAAACTATTATAAAATTTTACATTGCATAAAAAACTTGCAAGAAAATAAAAAGTATAAGAAAATAATGAATTTAGGTGGAAGCAAATTTTCCTTTGAAAAGCACACTTATTATATGTCAATTTCAAAGATACATTAAACCGCATAATTATAATTGCAATATTTGTACTATAATGAAATGAATGCTGAGAATATTTAACTTATTGTAAAATAATATATTATTATCTATATACGGAAAGCAAAAAGTGGTAATAATGCTATAAGTAAATCACAATAAGAAATTAGAATTTCTTATTAATTTAATATAAGGAATAGTGTTTCAATACATGTAGGATGTTTATTTCTATATTTAAAAAATGTATGAATTTCAAATAAAAAAGAGGTACTAGATTTTGTTTGTAATTTTACTTTACAAAAATTTCAGAATTTAGTATTATACTTTGTTAATTAGACAAATATAAAATGATTATAAAATCGATGAAGAATGTCAGAAAGGAACAATAAAAATAAAAACCAAAAAGTACTTCTCTCATCGAAATCTGCATACAATAATTGAAGCTGGTTTGAAGAACATTTAAATTCTAATGCTTTTCTCTGTCTCATATACGTATAATATGCGTATGCGAGTGCACTCTAACGTTACGTGAGCGTTGGCATAAAAAGACAAAAAAAAGTGAGATAAGTCGCTCATACGATTGTACAGTAAGCCATTGGAAATATATATTAATGACGCCATGTAATTATATGGTATAATTAGAGGGGCGTGAGAAAGTAGTGCATACTCTGTACGTATACGGGCGTATGTGGATGCGAAAACGTGTGTATGTGTGTGTGTGTCTAAACCTGAGATGAATAGTTGGAAGGCGTTCGACGTAGATATGTCAATTTAAAGACCAGATATGTTCTGAAAAACTTCATTACGTGGAGGTTGGTGCTTCATTAAATTGATCAAATCATGTTTACTGTTCTCTTCATTAGTTTAATAATGTTTATAAATTATTAGAATTAGATTAGGAAAGATTTTCATGATTCAGATTGATTTAGTCCCTTTAGCTTTTATTTTCTTTAGCTTAATTTTCCTTTATTTATTTATCAACCTAAGATCCTCTTAAGTCAGGCAGTTAGATATATATATTTTTAAATATTTGTTACAGAGTAAATTACTATCTATTCTCCTATACATCAAAATGTTCAGGTTTTAGTAAATTATAATTACCAAATCGATTGACCTTACTTTATCGTCAATAGATTCTATATGCTGGAACTTTTATTTTTTGTCTTTTAGTTATTGATACATAACTTTTATGTTTTAGATAATTAATCATAAGTAATGCATTATACTAAAATAAATATTTCATATTTTAATCAACAATTATATATTTATTACAATGGAATTCACCCAATTTATTGAAGTGATTTATATTGAATTGAAAATATTTCCTAATAT